CAGTGGGATATAATATAACTCATGACTGATAACAGAGTTCAGTTTTCTAATCCAGACCAAAATTACTTATGTGTATGCTTAAGTCTACAAAACAAAAACTTTATTTATCAAACATTTATAATTATTATTAAAATTTTCTTTTTTCTTAATATTACCAGCAGAGATTCCTCTCTTGTATGCCTTTTTATACAGCAAACAATATGCATTTTGAATTGTGACCCTGACAAAAAAACGTTTACGTGAAAATACCAACCCAGTCAGTTTTAAGCTGGGTGTGTGTGTCTAGGGGTTGTGGTGATTGCTAGTCTCAACACAGATGTGTGCAGTGTGTATGCACAGCTACTTACAAACACTTCTGAATATAAAACACAGGCAGAATAGGGAAGTATAAAATAATGCTCCAGAGTGGGCTAATTAATTTCAGTTTAAACCTTCAGCATCTTTCTCCTTTCTCCCCCGTATACCTTTTTAAGTTTTATTTTTAAAAATACAAACAAATGAAGGAATACTGATGCCCAGGGTGCTGTGCACAGTGGTGGGGGAGAGGTAATAGAAGGTAGGTTTTCAGTCTTCAGGACCTGTTCTTACCCCACAATCAAGCAGAATATAGTGGTCTGAGTAATGACCCCCAAAATCTCCATGTCTTGGTACTCGAAATCTGTAAACATGTTACCTCACACAGTAAATGAGACTTTGCTGATGCAATCGGATTAACGATTTTGAGATGAGGAGATAATCCTGGTAGGCTTAACCTAGTCAAAGTGGTCCTTGTAAGTTTCCTTTGGAGGCTCCAGAAAGAATGTGGGTCTGCCCATGCCTTGATTTTAGGCCATTAAAACTAATTTTTGGCTTCTGAAAAGCTTTCAGATGGTAAATTTGTGTTGTTTTAAGCCACTGAATTTGTGGTAATTTGTTGCAGCAGCCAAAGAAACTCATACACAAATAAAGCCCTGGATATAGGGAAGAGGTACTGGGTTTTATGTGAAGTGTTTTGCTGTCAAATTTCCTAACAATTCAATACTTCAGAGCAAATAGTAAAGATGTCTTGGGAAAGTGGCATTGCATCATGGACAAGAGATCAGGTTTCTAAACATGTGGACCATCTTTTTCCATTTTCTAGCCACATGAGTTGGGGCAGGTGCACCCTCTCTGAGCCTTGTTTTCTTACAAGATTGCTGTGAGGATTGAAAGAGAAAATGCAAGAAGAGCACTACATGAAGTTGGGGTCTGTGTTGACCTCACAGTGCTTAGCTCTACACCAAATTTTAACCTGAGTACTTAGACTCCACGCTTGATCTTCTACAGACCTGCAGAATGTATAATATTGGCTATTTGCCATTTTTCAGGCAAATGTTCTACACAGAACAAAGGAGGTCATGTTCCTATCTAGCAGATGACAATTTATATAATTAATACTTTTCCAGGAAGAGAAGTATACATGTGAGGTCCGTGGTGACCCTGTGTTCTAACAACAAGGAGAAAGAGTTTCTCCACTCAAACAGGCTGCCCATCAGGTTGTTTGTTGGTTTTTAGATGAAGGATTTGGTTTCCCCTCCTCCTTTTTTTCTTCCTATATGAGAAAAGCCTGTAGGCTAGGCGTGGAAAGACTAGAGCCCTCAGCATTTTCCTTTAGTAGAGCCATACAGCTAAATGAGAAAGCCCATAGTGCACACCAGGGTCCCTTGTCCCAGCAAAGGTTGCTGAGGAGTCAGAGGGCTAACCAGGCAAATGGATTAATAGCTGATATCCTATCTAGTGTTATCCTAAGAGCACCACCAATTGGCCTAAAGACACCGAATTTACTGTTGATTTAGTCCATATACAGCATAAACAATGACATCCTTTCCTTTCTTTTAGTAAGCTAAATTTGCTTAACAAAGCTAAACTCTCAAAGTAGGATTTTAGGAAGTAATGGAAGAATAGTCTATTTTATCCTCCAAGTTTAGGGAGATTCTTAAAAGAGACCAAGGATCCTTAAAAAAGACCCTGTGCACCAATCTATTGATGGAGGCTCCAGTGGAAGATACAGTCACTGGTGACTTTCACTTTCTACATTCTTTATTTCTTATAATGTTTGAATATTTTTCATAATTATTATGTATTGGTATGAAGGAAGATGCTTTCCAAAGGTCCTATCAAAATGCAGTCACAGACTCATTGGATGAACTTCAAAGGATTGTTAATATTAGTTTCTTTGAAAAATGGTCTGAAATCTGTCTCATCCCCTAAAGACTTCTCACTAGTGAAAGGAAATAGGAAAAGCTTGTCTTCACAGGCCAAGGTCAATGGAAAATGGAAGAATAAATGACTCACTGGGCATATGCTGTTTCAAAAAGAGCACTGGGTGTGGGGCAGGGAGTGGCAGCAATTGATCACAAAAGGTCATGTGTATGGATGTGCACTAAAAACTGGAAAAGCATTTTGGGTCAAGGTCATTGTTCAGTAGCAAGTGTGGCTTTTGAAAAGAGGGTGGTGGTTCACTGAATGTCACTGCTAGACCATATGATGGCCAACCTATAGACATAAATAAATGTACCAGTAAGGGACAAAGCCAGAATTTCAGGGCCTGAAGGGAGGTATTCTTTATCTACTCATTCATTTTTGTAATAGAATAAACACTGTATCCATAATTGTGTAATGACAACATGAGCTAATAATACAGGGTCTTAGCAGCTCAACAGTGGAGGTTGATTTGAGCTGCTTTCTCATCCTTTCTTAGGGTTGGCATGGGTCAATGGCACAGTTTAAGGTCAATAATTTTCTTTACTTAGAGACAGCTTAGAAATCAGGAGGCTTGGGTTCTAGTCTAGACTGCATGATCTTGGGAAGGCTACATGTAGTCCATAGTTATGTCCATAGTTATGTAGAACAAGGAGCTCATAAGGTGCCCATATATGATTCCTTTTTGTTCATATAATAGTAGGGCTTTGTATAGTAGGTTGATGGCCACCCCTAAATTTTCTAGCTGTCTGAACCTCAATTTCTTTTAACCTAAAATGGGACAATAAAACCTATTTTTCACTGGATTGTTGTGAGAATTCAACTAGGTGTGGAATAATGTATATTTCTTAGTAAAATATTGGTACATAGGTGTTGAAAATACACTACACTGCCTTGTCTTCCACAAGCTATGACACAGTAGCATGGAACTGATGAACGTAGCCATAATACGTTTAAGCTCTTAAGGAAAATTTATAGTCAATGTCTATTTCTAGCCTCCTTATACACTTGTCCCTCAGAATCTGCAAGTGGCTGGTTCCAGGTCCTCCTCAGACTTGGTTCCAGGATCCAGATCTATGGATGCTTAATCTGTATATAAAATATGTAATATTTACATATAATCTATGCACATTCTCCTGCATACTTTAAATCATTTCTAGATTGCTTCTAATAAAATGCACATGTTAGGTAAACAGTGATTATACTATATGGTTAAGGGAATAAAGATAAGAAAACAAGTCTTTCACGTTTAGTACAGATGCAACTATTATAGGGCTGAAATAAACAGTACACAATCTGTGGCTGTAGAATCTGTGGACGTGGAAATTGCAGATACTGGGCACCGACCAGTATTTTATTTTAGTGGCAGTACTGGGGTTAGAACTCAGGGCCTCGTTAGGCAGGCACTCTACCACTTGAGCCATACCTCTAGCCCTTTCTCTTTTTTTTTGCTTATATTTTCAGTGGGGTCTTGTGTTTTTGCCTGGGCTGGCATGGACCTCAGTCTTCCTACCTATAGACTCCAATGTAGCTGGGCTCACAGGTGGCTTGTTGATTGAGGTGGAGGTCTTGCTTCCTTTTTGCCTGGGCTGGCCTTAAACTGTGATCCTCCCAATTTCTACCTCCTGAGTAGTTGGGATTACAGGTGTGAGCCACCCTATCTGGCACTATATGATTCTTTGAGTGCTTTACTAAAGCACAACCTAAGATGAGCAGGGAAAAGCATGGAGGACTTGTGACTTTCTGTTGCTGGTAGCCTTTCTCTCAGACTAAGGCGAAGTATGTAAATTGCCCCTCTCTTCAGTTGGGTGACTACATAATTTATCATCCAATCTGGGATGTTTTTAGAGTTGTCTCAGTCAAACAGGGGTATGTGTAGCTTCTAACTTTTAATGACCTTTGTTGTCTAAAGCTAGGTCTGATGTCCTAATGAGGAACAAATTGCAAAATATGATTTTATCCAATCAGTTTAAAATCCTTCTGTGTTCTTTAAAGGCTTGGAAGAAGATTAAAGTTTGAGAAATACACATTAATTTTAATAGGGTGTTACAATAGAATAGTCATGTTTTTATTATCATATATGCTTCAGTGCAGAATCAACAAACTTTTGTAAAGGAATAGAAAGTAATATTTTGGGTTTTGTGATCCATATGGCCTCTGTCATAGCCACATCATTCTGTCATTATAGTAGATAAGCATCCACAGAAAGTATGTAAAATAATGGGTGTGGCTGTGTTCCAATAAAACTTTATTTACAAAAGGCTGAGAGCTAGATTTAGCTTGTAAACTGCAATGTGCCAACTCCTGCTTTGAAACAATGGTTCCCATACTTTTAGAAATTGATTCAGGATTTTTAGCTTACTTTTCTAAGCAGTGGGTTTTTTTTTAATAGAAAGTCACTACTTCATACCCTTATTTCTTACAATTTTAAATAGCAATAAAATCATAATAAATTTACTTTTGTGGAAAATCCACCGTATTGTCTATATTTACAAATTCTTTTTTTAGCTTGGTGGCAACTTTGTCAAGAATATACTCAGGTTAACAGATGGGCAGTTTGAGTTACTTTTATTTATCATTGGGGCGTGGCACATTAGAAAGAACAGGTATTTCTAATTAAAAGATATAGATGTGAGTAAAGTTAGGGGGTCAACTAAGAAGGGAGGGATAGCAGACCTCACATATTCCTTTAATGGGGAAAAACTACTCTGAAAAAGTATCCCTTGTCTTAAATCACTGTTGCAAACAAAACTCCAGTACTGAGTAACCTCAGGACTCACCAGCTGCCATTGTGCAGGGTACCAAGCTGGGGGGCAATTGAAGCGGTTGCAGGCCTGCACTGTGCTGGGCTTAGGGTGGCGACACAGCTCATCAGCCAGGATTACCATTTCATTCATCTCTCTGGAAAGTAGATGGGAGCAGAAGACATCTCTGGTCTGCAGGCCAACCCCACATGTGAGACTACAGGGACTCCACTTGCCAATTTCCCACCTGAGAAGAAATCAGAGAGAAAGAGGACTGCTTTAGTCCCTGCGCAGAGAACATCTTCCAGGAAGTCAAGTGTGGCTAACTCCTAACTGTGAATGTGGGAAGTTCCAGCCCAAGATTGGCTAGAAATTCTATTCTAAGCCTAGAACCTATCCTCTCCTTTCGTGATCATAGAATTCATTTAAATAAAGCAAAAAGAGTGATAAAATGGAAGTCTTTATTTACTTATGCTGTCACTAGTAATGGTTATGACCATGTCTATTTCAATGGAACATAAAAACTTCATCAAAGCAAGGGTGGTATGCTGAATAAGACATAGGTTGGGAATCACATAGTGGCTAGAATGGCTAAAAGAAGCCTTTTTGCTTCTCCAGCCTCCATTTGTAGCAAGACTGAAAGAATTGTGGTTGCTATTCTTTGGCTTCAAAGTGAAAGGTCATCGGCTCCAACTTCCTTCAGCCTTCCATCATAGCACAGAAATGTCTCTGTCTTATGTGTAAATATCATCACTGCCTGGGACTGGATAATGTAACAGAAGTAGAGGCTGCTAAATAGATCAGTCTTCTTGAAGGGAAATAAGTGGAGTGAGTAGCTCATTATCTGGACATAGAAGTCAAATACACAGATGAATTGAGTGCATGAATTGGCTAGTTCCAAATGGCCACATCTTAAGAAATACATTTATAGTGAGCTACGTGCCTGTAAAAACAACCCCACTGCATTTCCCTGTTGATACAGCCTCCAAAATGGCAATGATAAGGACAAAGCTCAGTTGCTTGGACTGTGACTCAGAAGTGCTCTCCAATGGTCAGTTTTAGTTCTGTTTACAATCTGAGCCACAAATATTCTACCAACAGGAGTTAGCCAAGAAAAGCAAGGCAATAGATTCTTCAGTAGCTAGGCCTGCCTAGCTTTTCTAGCCAGCTCAGAAAATTGGTTTAAAAATCTTTGGCCTTAATGAGTTACATCAGATTGTAAAACTGAGTGTGTCCTGTCATCTCTTCTTGCTACTCTAACATGTAACTACCTTCCAGCCCCCTTTCCTCTACCTCCTTTCATCTTCCCTCTGATTAGTCATAGCTACAGTGAGCCATGTTGTTACTATCTTGGTATGTCCCATGATTTTCTAGCTCTGTCTTTATGCCAGCTGTACACCTAATTCTGAGCACCTTTTGCCTTTTCCTTACTCCTCAAAATTTCTCCCACTTCAACATATTCGAATGTGATCCACATTAAAGAGTGCATTCACTCCTGCCCCAAACACTGATCATTTTGTCAACTGTATTATAGTTGTTCTGCCTGCCTGCTAAAATATATACTTCCTGAAGTAGGGCCTGTGTCAGAGTCTGTATCACTCACAGGGTCCATCATAGAACCATCTAGGTGGTTAATGTGGATGGTTAGTTGATTTTTGATAAATGAATGAATGGAAGGGACCTACCATCATAGAGGCCACATATCACATTTAATTACCACTGGAGAGAGAGTATCCATGGATTTTCCTCATTTTATAATTGAGGGATTCTAAGAATCCAAGAGGCTGAAATGTCCGAGTACCCATCACTAGTAACTAACAAATCCAGGATTCAAACTTGGGCACATTTGACTCCAAAGACCATGCTATTGCCAGTCTTGCAAAACTGTGAGAGTGGATGAATATTCATACCTTGAAAACTCTTCTATAATTACTCACAAAATTTTGTATGAATAGAAGAAAAACAGAGGCTGGATTGAATATATTTCTTCTAGATTTGTGTGTGAATGCTTATAAACTTTTCTCATGTATAGAATTCTAGAATAATTATAAGCTTTAAAATGTAGTGCTAAAGTGCTTTTAAGATATGTTCACACATTCATTGCCATTCCTTCCTTCTAAAAGTGTAATCTTGAGGGTAGACTGGACTCAGAGATTCATTTTCCATGAACAGAATGAGGCAGAAATGATGCTATGTAACTTCCAAGGCAGATCATATACGATATAATTTCCACTTGGTGCTCTCCCTGGTTGCTCATTCATGGTGGTATGGAAGCCAGCCACCATGTCGGGAGGACACTCAGGCAATTTTCAGGAAAGTCTACCTGCAGACTCAACTTGCCCCTCATGTGCATGAGATACCCTAGAACACATCATCCAGACTCAGGCTGGCCTGAGTAGCTACTGCCTCAGGAAAGACCTTGGCCAGAACTACCTGGGTAGCTCATTCCAAATTCTTTACTTCTATAAACTGTAAGGGGGATAAATAATATTCATTCTTCTAAACAACTAAGTTTGGGGAGAAATTTATTATGTAGCAACGGGTAATTAAAGTAAGTATCTACCTCTCCCAAATGTTCATTAATGGATGAATAAAAAATTATGATATAGTCATACAGTGCCGTACAAAACAATGAGAATTGACTATAGTAATAATACAGCATGGATGGAACTTACAAACATGAATTGAGTGAATGAGGCCACAACAAAAAGACTCATACAGTTTCATTTCATTTATAAAAGCTCAAAAACGCAAATCAATCTGTGGAATTAGTAGTTGGAATTCTGGTTACCCTTGGCACGTAGGAGCTGGGCACAGTGGGGAGGGTTTCTGGGTTGTTACCTGGATCTTGGTGCTGGGTCTGGGCTCACTTTGTTAAAAACCACTAAGCTGTATGAGGAGGATTTGTGCACTTTTCTGTGTGTTTGTTATGTTTCAAGAAAGACTTCTCTCTTCATCTTTAGGTGAAATACTGAAATGTGGTGGGTCTAAGACAGAGTCCTACCACCCTCAAAATGCTGACAGGTACTCTGTCTGTCTCATAAAGGATCTGCCTGCGCAGTTAATTCTGCTCCGAGGTTAGGGCTTATCAGAGCACAGACTTTACGTCCTTACTCCCCTGGCTCCTGCCCTACCTCTGGCAGAAATTCAACCACTGGGACCTTGAAGCAGAGGCATTTTGGCAGTTATGAGGCCACTTAAACCCTGCTCAGAGAAACTCACAAAACAGACCTATCTGCCTACCCTGATAAAAGAAAATTATACATTCTCAAGGAAGGAGATCAGCAGAAGCTGTCTGTGTATTAAGTACTTTGCTGATTCTGGGTCAAAAATATTTTAATGAACTTAGGCCAAAAAAGGGAAAGCAGAGATTGTCCCCCTATTTCTCTCCGGCAGAGAGCCTGCAGTTGTGGGTTGTTGACCTTGCTGGCTGCTGATATCTGCTACTTGCACTATGTATATTTGGCTGTTTCAGATGGAGGGGCTGCAGACCAGTGGGAGCCAGCTGGGGGCAAAATTAGCTGTGGCTGAAAACACGGGACACTGCCAGCCCTTCTGGGCTTTCTTTCAGCATAAGTCCAGTGCTGAGGAGGTCTGGAGAGCTGATTTGAGCATCAGAGAGTGAGAGCGTTAGTGTCTCTTCTCTTCCTTAGCTTATGTGACTTTTGCTCATCTTTTCACTACAATTAAAATGTTACTTCTCCAGGGGAAATTCAATGTGTAAAATTCTCCCACCATATGGTCCCATTAATGCTTTCCTCTTTGGAAATTCTCAACACACTGATAATTTGACTACCTCAACTCAACTGTTAGCTTTATGAGGGCATGTGGCCATGCCTATTTTTAGTGGAGTAGTTCTTAAGGGTGGAATTGTGTCCCCTTCCCAAGAAATGTGTTGGAGCCCTAACCCCTAATACCCCAGAATGTGGTCTTTCATGGAAATATGGTCATTGCAAAAATAAGGACTTAAGATGGGCTGTAGTAGAGTAGGGTGGATCTTTGATCTAATATGACTGATGTTCTTATAACAAGAAAGAGGGACAAACAGGGAGAATGCCATGTGATGATGGAGGCAGAGATTGGGGCAAGCAATGCCAAGGATGGCAGCCATCCCCAGAAGCTAGAAGACGCAAGGAAGTTTTCTTCCTTTCAGGTTTCAAAGGGAGCACGGCCTCACTGACAACTTTATGTTGGATTTGATTTTAGCTTCCAGAACTGTGAGATGGTAGATTTCAGTAGTTTTCAGCAACCCCTTGGAACTGTGTTACCATAGCCCTAGGAAATGAAATCACTGTACTCACAGGGCCTAGTGCGGTGCTTGGAACATAGATGTAGTAGCTCAAATGGAACTGAATGTCCAGTGAACTGTGTGTGCACCTTTGGATTAGTTACTTGGTTGGTCAACATCTCTCTGTCCTCTAAACAACTGCTCACTCCCAGTGTCAAAGTCCCCATAGTGCTGAACAACATAAATTATTCTTCAGTGTGGTGTAAACTCTTTTGGTGACAAAACTAAGTTGACATGCTTTTGATAGGCTGTATTCTACTTCATATAAATATTTATACATTTTACAGCAACATTTTATCCTGCTGTTAAAATGACATTTCCCCTCCCCCAAAACTGTTAGGAGTGTTATATAATTTATGTCTTAAGTCATCCTAACATCTTTTTAAAACATAAAAAATTTCTGAATTCTGAAATCCATCTGCCCCATGGTTTTGGCTAGAGGATAGGGGCCCTATATAAGGAGGGTGACAAGTCTCATGGCTCTGGTTTCTTTCAGCTTCTAGGCTTTAGGTGTTTAGCTACATGTTTGGGCTCTTGGCCAAAATGTCAGAGAGACTCTGTATGCTTCTTTTTTTTTTTAGTGGTACTGGGGGTTGAATTCAGGGTCTCATACTTGCTAGGTAGCTGCTCTACAACTTGAACCACTCTGCCATCCCTGTCAGAGAGACTCTGAATTCCCCAGTCTTCTTTTCCTATACTTCTTTCTTTCCTCTGAACCCTTCTCTCCTTTTATGCAAATCTGCTTGCAGGAAAGGCTCTGTGAACTGACAGGTCACAGTGGATAGCTTGCTTAGGCTTGACTTTGTCTAGCTCCAGATTAACTGATACCTAACCAAGGACAGGAAAGTGACAGAGGGTTACTTTCCACTTTAATGGCCTGTGCTTGGCTCAGCTACAGGGGTGCCTGGGTTGAGCTATCATCTTACCTGCCATTGTGGCTGGATTCAGTGTGGTATAAA